ACTGGAACCTGAGGCGGTATAATATTGGCCTGCATTTACTGGCTTCAAAGACCATGCCGAAGCCACACAGGAATGCCTCCTACTATGCATCAATAAAGTCCAATCTGAAGAAGGGCAGTTTAGTCCGTACAGCCTGCCTAGAACAGATCACACATCTATCATGTCAAATAAAAGTCCCTACAGACAGTGAACATGTACCCCTCCCCTTTGGTATTACACCCCACCACAATCTGATTAAGTTCATAATTGCAGTGGGAAACACAGAAATCAATAAACCTCATCAATTTGTTATTAATCAATTGTTACTGAGTCTTGTTACTAATCAATTATAATTGAAGCTGTGCAGGGCCTTGATTTGTCTTTTCACACCTTCTCGAGTTTCTCCAATTCTCCTCACGTTTGCCTGCCTCACACACAAATAGATCACCATGCAAATTACTGCTTCCTATTTCTGTCACTAATTCATAAGCGACATTTTGCGTGGAATGGTTTATTTCAAAATCTGGGTCGTTTTTGGGTGCCCCCCTCCCCCATTCAGAGGAAAAGAAATGGTGCGTGTTATTCTTGCTCTCCTGTGCCGCTGGCTTTGAAATACTGAGCTGAAAAAAAGAAAATTCTGCAAGTAGTTATTTTCCAATTCTCTCATAGAAGAGCAGCTGAAGGCTCGCATGGTGTGGAGAGGAGGGGTACCAATGGCAGAGGGGAAACTGCTATGAGCCTAAATGACGGCAAATGAAGAGTAAAGGAACCAGGGAGGGAAATAATAGTGCAATATTTATATCAGGGATATAGATTTACATTCCTTTTTCTGTACAGGAAGACATATGCGCTCTTTGCAGGGCGCAGATTAATGCCTTAGACGTAACACAGCTTTTCCAGAAGGTGCAAAAGACCATTATTCAACAGACAGGCGTCTTTAAATAACGCAGCTCCAGCACAATCGGCTCCTCCACAGCAAAAGGGATTGGATGAAAAGGATTTAGAGGTAGCGTGAGCTTAACAGTTGAATAAAGGCTGGTAAAGATCTATGCTGTCGCAGTGGAGATTTAAAGAAATGTTCCCATTGATAAAACTACAAATAAAGGCCGTAAAACCTCTCAAGCATGAAACTTTTTAGTGAAGAATAGGGAGCCACAAGTGTCTTCGCTGTAGTCTGCGGAATTCTTGTGATTGTACCTCAGAAAATAAATAAAGGGCTGCTCCTAGGGCGGCGAGCTAATGATATTTAACTTTGAGCAGCTCCATTCACAGGCTCCTGGTGTTACAGTCCAGAAGAACAGAATGACCTCAACTTCACCCACTGTGTCACTTGGCCAGCGATTAAACAGCCCTGTTCTTCTGAAGTCCTGACTCAAAAGAACCAGGAAAGGCCCCTATTCAGTAACACCAAAACAAAAGAAACTTGTGCAACTGAAGTCAGCAATACCCGACTGAACAGGTAATCAATATTGGTGAAACTTCTCTCAAATGCAACAGGAGCTGCTTGGAAAAGCGCAATCTAACTTTCGAAGGGTTCTACTATTGTTACGATGTCAAGCTTGTACCAACAGAAGAACCCTTTTTGGTGCTACATAGAACCCTTTCAAAAAGGTTCTATATAGAACCATCTACAGCGCATTTTCCATCAAGCCTAAAAACCCTTTCACATAGCAAAGAACCATTTAATCATGCAAAGGTTTCTTTGGTTCTACATAGAACAATTTTCTTTACTAAAGAACCCTTGCTTAGTAAATAACCATCATTGTAAGTGTAACAAATCTAGCATGAAATAGCACACGCTTACATTGTGCAATGTCATATTTTTAGCTGTGTATTTCTTCCCATGGAGTACTAGAATGTTCAAGTAGTCTGAGCATTATGGTCTGCTTTTAGATGGTCATCTTAAGTGAAAAATAGCTAGCTTTTAAAGAAGCAATATCAAATAGTATCGGTATCAGTCAATACTCAAAAATGTGATATTGGTATTGGTAAAGAAAAGGTGGTATTCTGCCATCTCAACTTACATGGCATTAAAAAAAGAACAATACATTCCTGTTAACGTACCAGAAAATAATAGATTTTTCCAATACTGTGATTATGCTCAAAAACAACATGTTCACAATAGAAGACTGCACTCAATTTCCTTTAAAATTATGAACAATGGAAACAGAATAGAGTACAAACAGCTCATTTGATTATGATCTGTGCATTAATGCATAACGGCACATTACACCACATGACACACATAAGTGCGCCTTCTCATAAAGAACATACGATCATCCATCAACCCCTGGATATCAAATAAGCTCTTTACTTTCAAATCCAGATGGCTGGATAGGAAAGTAGGCAACACTTCCTATCACATCTGGGTGGGTAAAGGGAGGAGGGAGGTATTGTTCCCTTCGCCTTATGAAACTCCACATCCTCCTTGGAGGAAACGGGAAACTTGAGGTCAAGCCAGTCCCCACCATCTGAAATGATGTTACACTGTTCTTAATATGGAAACTCATCCAGAGAGGCTAGTTTCATTATAACCAAACCATGACTGAACTCGACTGGACATGCCTCCTGGAGTAAAAAACCCCTGACTGGTTTACTGAGCATCACGCCTGCTGCTCCTTTCAGAGTGCGGTGTGCCAGAACTGGGCTTGTTCTTGTTCATTAATTCAGTCGACAGTCAAAAACAAAGGCTCAGAAAAACACAAAACACACAGTAGATGCTGTAGCTAGGTGTCCAAGGGGTGGCTCTCCACAGTTACTGAGGGGCAGGAGAAAAACGCTTTAAAACAGCAGCACACCGTGTGGAAGAAAACGCCCTGCCTTGTCGATGTGTCTCTCTACAGCCACGCTGACTGGAAGACACTTGGAACACATGAGCAGACACAGTTTAACACACGTTTGTATTACATATAAGGGAACATAAGCATGAATATGAATTGAATATGAAGTTACTGATAGCCCCTCATCGATCCAGCTGGTCATATTAGTTCTAGTGGCTCTGACAGCCCTACACATTCCCCAGTGCTTTGGGTTGCAGACGAAGCTGAAGGCAGCTTCTGGTTCGAATTTCCCCGTTCCACCTTAAATGGTGCAGCAGTTACATTCTGGCGCCTCGGCACCAGGACGTAGCTGCTGCACCATTTAAGGTGGAACGGGAAAATTCGAACAAGAAGCTGGCGAATAGGAAGCCAACTTCAGCCTCGTGGCTTCTACTGTATCCATCGTTGAATCTGGCACTTTATGGAGCAGCATAAATGCTTCTTTTTTCTTAAAAACGCTCCACACGCTGATAGAGTTTAGTTTTCAGCCTGTGTGGCTGCCTCCAAAGCTAGGCTGTAAAATCTGAGGTGTGAGAAAAACACAAAGCTGATAAGATTATGTCAGATATTTAGATTATCATACCTCGGCATCATGTTTTATGACAGAAATACGGCCTTTCCTGACAGAACGAGCACACTTACCTTTGACTTGAGTTTCATATTCGGCTATAATCTCCTTGTCTTTTCGAAATTTTGCCGGAGACGTCATGTTTGTCTTAAACGTGAAACACTCAGCGACGTCCTTGTATTGTAACTGAAGCAAAGCGCAGAAGAACAAAAAGGGTTGTTTCCACCTATACGGCACAGGATATCCAAAAAAAGCGAATATGGGTCGGAATTAGTGCGATCCAGAAGAAGAAATAGCGCTGTTTCACAACGAAGATCAGTCTCCCCGCATTATGAGCATTATCAGCTGCGACTGCTCCTTCACTCGACTGAACGTGTCTGCGAAAGCGATAGAGGAACTGCGCCGAGTTTCATTCCCTCGTCCAGCTCCACTGCTCAGCAGCCCTGTCAGACGCTGCGGTTAGCCTCCAAACTTTCTGCTTTGCTTCCCGTCTGCGGCGACACACTGGAGCTACGAGGGTCTTCTTGAGGGTCTTGCCAGGCTAGAAGGAAAGCATGGACCAGCATGGATCAGCTCGCTTGCCTGCCACCGCGCAGAGATGTAAGCTACACACACCTGTACGACCAGAGTAAAAATGAGTTTCAATGGAGAGTCCTTAAGACAGTGTGATGTACTCCGAGACGAGACCTGGGCTGGGTTAAATCCCACTCTGTTTTGGGTATAACATCGCTCCTCCAACCTGTAACAAAGAACATCAGGGTGTTTTTCACAACAGAGTCATTTTAACAGCTATATACGGAGTCTACTACAGTATTGGCAAAGGTTAACCGCTTAAAGCCCTAAGCTGCTTTGAATTTCATTTCACAGCCCACTACGTACGTTTACGTAGGTTTTAGAAAGTAATTAACTAAATGGTCAAAAAACGAGAAAACTAAAAAGCTTGCCGCTTCTGTATAGTTACGCGGTTTACCAGATAAAACAGGTCAACAGTAAATCTTCGATCAAAAGTTCTCACAAAGAAGCTTGAGCTGTTCAATCTTCCCTTTTGCCCGTTTTCCAAGTCGAGCTTCCTTCCTTTGAAGACATCCTCACATTTTCGCTAACCGAGATTACTCCTAGTTCACTAAAGCCACAATCACAAGCTAGTTAAACAAACACTGAAGTTACCTCGACAGGCGATTTCCATTCCTTTACAACATCTCGCTTTAAACTCATTTAATTCAAGAATTCTGTCTCAAGCTGTAGCTCAACAGACCGATATCTCGGAGTTTTTCCCAACTCTAACTCTAACTCCGCCTCTGTTCATGGACACAGTGGACAACCCCATCCGGCCCCATTGGCTAGATGAAGCGGATGTGATCGGAAATCCCTCAATTCCGCAGTACAATCCATTTTACATTTATATATTAAAACTGTTTCGTTTTTTTGTTGGCTCATATATTACATGTATTAATATCAGGATTGATATTGTGACTTGTGAGTTAGTAGCCAACATTATGGGTTTAATTCAACAGCAGATAACGATAATACTGAGGAGCCGCGGTGTTACATATGAATATCCGGAGCAAAATAGAGGGAGTTGATGACTCGTTAAGAAGAAATATATAAAAATAAAATATTTTTAAAAAGCTATTCTGCACGAATAGCGTTTCGTTAGCCAATCAGCGAGGGGCAAAAGGGCCAACCAATAGCATCTTGGACTCGGTCATTTTTAGCCAATCAGCGTCCCCGCCGAAGCGGTTTGAAAATGTTTCAGGAAGCGAATGTGGCCGGACTGTTAAAGGGTTTTATGGGCACGTAAACAAACTTAGCTTAGCAAGAGACGAGCGATTAGCGAAGCGACGGAGGACGATGGATAAAACTGTACTTTTAAGCGCGAACATGATTTAACTTAAGCGAGACCGTTTTCGAAAACTGGTAGCTAACAGGTCTAGATATATTTTGTCGCTGTTGTATTAGCTTGCAAAATAGCTAGCTACTTAGCGTTAGCTATAGCTTGGATTTGAACAAAGGCTGGTGTTGACTGACTGCCTTGTTTGTCTTGTTATATTGTAGCGTTCATCTGTTTTGTAGGCCATTTATTAGTCTCAGATTTGTGGTGTGTAGAGCTCTGATTGTCAAATAGTTAGTTAGCAACCAGTGGAGGTTAGAATTAAGCTTAGAACGGTTGCTACGTAGCCAACTGGCTAATATCCTGTTTAAATACCTTGCAAATTAGAGGCAGTTCAAGCCACATCTGCATTTCTTTCTTGAGATCTTCAGTAGTTACACTTGTATAGTAGGCTTTCGCTGGGTGTAGTGATTAACTGGAATAAGTAGACAACAGTTTATTTGTAGTTTTAAGTAACCTAACGGTGCGTCGAGACAGTAAATTGTACAAAAAAGAGTACACATTGAGAAAAAGCTGCATAATGTCTACTTCCAATTTTAAGAATAAATGCGTTACTCAGGTGAACTGCATATACTGCGATAGTCTCCTCTGTACGAGAGGTATGAAAGCTGTGCTTTTAGCTGATACAGAAATCGAGCTGTTCTCAACTGACATGCCCCCAAACAGGTAAGAATGGCTTTGATGGCTGATGATGTTCTAAAATTTTAGCGTTCTTATGTTAAGCAGTCAATGCATTGTGTGAATTGACAATGAACTGGCTGAATTTGCCAGTAACATGATCTGTCAAAAAGGGAATCACGTTTTTTTTCTTTCTGCATAATTCAAACTTTAAGATATAATCAAAGTAATTCAGAGTGGTCTGATGTGAAGCGCTCCTTTTGAAAAACTTACCAAGTCAGTTTTTTTTTTGCGGTGGTGTTGATAGGAACCAGAGATCTGAAACATGTGATGCCCCTAAAAGCTACCTACCTGAAAGTTGTTACATGAAATGCTTATGAATGTGCTGTCTGATGCCAAAGACATTGTTTTAAGATGGGTTTGAGAGAAAAAATGTATATATTTGAATTCATTCATGGCACAAAGATACATGCAGGGCATTGTAATGGTAAAATGTTCTTTTAATCACTACCATTGTAAAATTACATAGGAAAATTTGAGACACATGTAGGTCATTCTGGACAGTAAATAGAATTGTTATTTGTGTTGTAGACATCACAACCCTTGTTTACTGTCACCACCATTGTAAATAAATCTGCATCTAAGTTTCTCTACCATGCACTATTTTACTTCAGAACATTGAATAAATTTGTTTGTTTTTAACCTTTGAATTATGCAGAAATTCTGAAAAAAAATCCCCTTTAACAGTGATTTTCTTTCTCTCTTCTACAGGACTGTTGACTTTGTTGCAGGCTGCTATTCCACAGAAAGCTGCAAATGCAAGTTAAGAGACATTGCCTGCCTAAAATGGTATATAACAATCAATTTCATGATCTTATGCGTCAGTGATTATAGCTGCAGTTCAAATAATGAAACTCCTGAAATGTTATGCTGATGATGAATTAAGGGTTCCATGTAGACACGTTGTGCTAATGTGTCCCTATAAGTTATTAGATTAATGTTTTTACTTTGCACCAACATCTCACTCATTGAGCATTTTGTTTGTCAGACTGTGCTATTCATTCTCATTGTGTTCAGACTCTGTTGTTTTTGTTTCTCTCTTTTTCTGGCTTTTTCTGCCTGTTCAGTGGAAATGTTGTGGGGTATCACGTGGTGGCCCCATGTAAGCCCTGCCTCCTCTCCTGTAACAATGGGCATTTCTGGATGTTCAACAGTGAAGCTGTGTCAACCATCAACCGACTGGATGCATCAGGTTTGAAATCAATGTCAAAGTGAAGATTCAATATAGTTATTTTATTTTTGTTTTTGTGTTCGGTAGCTTATTCACAATTATGGCTAAGCAGTTTAGTCCCTGGTACACTATATGTCCAAAAGTTTATAGAAAATTGATGCCACGTTCCTGTTAAAAGGGACTTTGTCTCCCCTTCACTACAGTAACAGCCTCTACGGTTCTGGGAAGGATCTACAATATATGTTGTACCAATGCTGTGAGGATTTGATTGCATTCAGCCACAAGAGTATTAGTGAGGTCAGGTACCAATGTGGGATGATTAGTTCTGGGTTACTTACCCTGCTCCAGCTTATCCCAAAGACATATGATGGTGCTCAGTTTTAGAGATCACAGTTCTGCTGCTCCACAGTGCAATGTTGGGGTTCTTTATTCCCCTCTAACTGACACTTGGCCTAATTGGTCTTGCAGGGCCAGACATATTCTCACAATGAGAACGCCCCTGGAAACATCCATGAGAAATTTTGGGCTAAATGTGGGTGGGAACACAGACTTAGGATGAAAACAAACAGAATGTGAATTTTAGTAACCAATCCATTAGCGACCAAAGCCAGCACTCAAAGTAGGAGGTGATGGTGTGCTCGTCAAAATTGTCTGATTGACAAGCCTGTTGTTAACCCATGGATCATGGATGTAACTGAAGTTCACAAGGTTTAAAGGCCCCCCTCCTTTAATTTAGGGGTAGGTTTTAGAGGGGGCTTATCCTTGTTTACAGCAGATTTTCTCACAATCCATCACAAGGGTTGTCTGTATACTTTTGGACATCTGTGTGGAACTGAGCTTGTGTTTCTGTGTGTTAATAATCCAGTTTATTTTATTAATATTCCACAAGAATGTATGTCACTAAAGTTCAGAATGTCAGATCTGTTTATGATGGAGATAATTGGTTTCTCTCTTAGGACTGAATCTACTACTGTGGGGTGACCTACCAGAGTTGGAAGGTAGTGAAGATGAGAGCCCAGACAGCCTTTCAGACGAGGAGTACCTCAGATAAAGAGACACAGCACTGGAAATTTTTAGGAGACACTTGGCTCCCAAGAGTCTTCGTTTGAAGCACATTCTTACATAGACTTGGAAAATATGTAGACAACAAAGAAAAGTAACAAAGAAACCTTCCAGCATTTTTTGCTCTATGAATCTGTCTTATGATTGCACCCTCAACAGCAGTTTGGTAGCATAAAAGTATGCATTTGAGTGCATTTTTATTACAGCATCTTCTATTAGGGTGAGTATCTCAAGTATCATTTTCATAATGCATAAACCACAAGCATGTGGGGTAATCTTGTTGCTAATTGCCTGAGAAATCTATGATCGGTTTAGCTTGTGCATTTGTGGTGGGGAGAGGATGTAAGAAAAGAAGCAACAATGGTACGTTAACATGGGAATACAAGTAAGCGCTATGGCTACAGTATTCTTGACAGACAGATGTTAAATATTTATTTATTTATTTTATTTTATTATCTGGGGGATGGACAGCACACTTGAGATATAAAATATGTGAGGAACATATTTGTTTGAAGGATTGAGAGCAACCTCTTGTGTGTTGCTGTGCTCATGAAGACTTCCTATCTCTCTCTTTTTATCTCTCCCTACCTTTTTGTATTCCTTTTCTTTTTCTTTATTATGAAAGTTGACTTCAAGTTTTCTGTTTTCTGTAATAACCTAAACAACTTAACGTTTTATTATGATTCGAGTGGGAAACTTGGACACAGGAGGTTGTCATGAAACAGCCACATTCTGAACGGTGGACCTGTAAATTTAAGCATTAACCAATAGTACTGTGTGATTAGCTTTAGCTGGGCGACAGTCTGCATTTTACTGCATTTACCATATTGAACGGTACAAGGTATGTTTTACTTTTGATATTGGTTCATTTTTACAATGTTTGGAAAGTTGAAGTGGCACAGGTCATTTGTTTAAGTCATACATACAGAGTACCGCTGGGGACACATTACGTTCTGCAGTGAATGGCTCAGCTTGCTTTTGAAGAATGCTGATACTTAATGTTGCTTCATTGCAGGTTTTATATGTAATGGTGATCTATGTATATAAACTGCTTAATACAATAATCTGTACTGTTCAAAACGGTCAATCTAGAACTTATAAGGTTTAATAATGTTCACTGACATACAATTTGAATGGTTATTTCCAAAGATTAGGCTATTCCTTTGTTTTCTGAGGACACTGTGGCTCTATTGAGGATTTCTAAAAGAAAATGCAGCACAGAAAGTACATTATTTGTTACTATCTTATGTTGCTGCACATACATTCCAGTGTATGTCAATACATTTTTTTAAGGGTTGGGGGTGGGTTTGTCATGAGGACAATCGTTAGACTGACAAGAAGAGAACAATAAGAAGGCACATAACTGTCATACATAATAGTACACTGTGTAAAATTGCATCCAAAGTGCATTTAGGCATCACAATGTTTTTTTTTTTTCTACCCCATTTTATTCATGTAAAAAAATGGTTTACACTTGCTCTATAATTGTTTATTATTACGTCTATTTGCTGTTAACCATTTCACTGTGTAATATCATACCCTCTCGAAAATTTTGAAATTTTAAATATTTTGTTTAAAGATGTTTAGATATCACCACAGTATTTATAAAAATTTAAGGAACTTTGATTTGATTTTGCTCAGTACAATGAAAATAGAACATATACTGACCATTATTGTCTATTGGCCTGTGGAGTTGTAGCAATTTTTCTGGCTTGAATGATTTTCATGAAGATATGACCAAAATGAAAAGATAGAAAAACTTATTTTTTAACTTATTAACAGAAGTTGTTTATTTGCTGTAATTTATCAACATTTTGAATGTATGTATTTATTAATGAACGTGAAACTGTATTTATACTTGGATAACTTCTCTTGCACCATTGGAAGACTGAAAAAGAGTTTGTAATTCTTTGAATTTGCACTGGAATTGTGTTGTTGGTTTGAACATTGGGTTTTTTGTATGCTTGCTGTCTTGGTATTAAACATTTTTTAATGTGAAGAATTTGTGTTTTATTGCTTTAGAAAATGTGTGAAGTCTCAGTCAGGAATGGCTGCAGCAAGCAAGCTGTTTTCTGGTACTGAGTCAGCTGAACAGCAATGCTGAAATTCTGGCACCTCTAAAACATTCAGGACATATCGAATTTTTGTCATGTTGTGTTTTTGTTTGTTTTTTTTTTTTAAACTTGAGATACATTCAGAGTAGCCACTGTGCTGTTTCTTTTATTCCTGTTTGAAGTTTAAATATGTTTTCAGTATAAATTGAATCAAGGTTTAATATTAAACTTTAGTTCAAGGTTATGGTTACATTTATTCTTTGAATTTCGCAGAATCTTCTAGTGACAAAAAGACCTACTGAAAATCTAGTTATAACTATTGGCTTTGTGAAGTGTTGCATCTGGCCATTGAGTTATTTGAGCTAAGAACTCTGTCACTGTTGTACTGCGAATAGTTCACCAACCCAAGACTATCTGGTCAGTGGTGGTCCAGGGGTGGTCTCCTGTCACTGATATACATGATAGGTGGGGGCTGATAAATTGTGCAGCAGCAGATGGGTTACAGTGGTGGTAGTTGTTTCTGAGAAATTGACGAATGAATGTAGGTACAAGATGCACTGTATTTCACAGGTTTGTAGACGTTACTAAGATTTTATGAGGTTTTTGTCAGATTTTATCTGTGATTTCAAATATTTTGGTTTCTCCCCATTCAAAGAGATCAGAGTATGACTGGAACTAACTGCCCTGCGGCTTTACAAAGATGGCAAAGTGAACAGACTTTTCAATAAGGATTGGCTACTGGACTATAGCTTCAGGCCTTTTTTGAGTAGCCATGGGTCTCTTTTTACTGCCAAAATATTTAATATCAATATAAATTATGGGCTCATACAACCACTGAATATTTTGTGGTAAATGTATCCCTGCCTAAGCCGCTAGACTTAGTGACTTTTGAGACCCTTTTTAAAAAGCAATGAGTGACAAATCTTGTGAGAAGGAAAGCAAGAAATATAAATCTTTTACAGAAGTGTTGTAGTTTATTCCCATGCATGCTGCTCAGGGTTAACATTAATGGTCAAAATACATGAAACTGGAACTGTCCCCCTTTCTTATTTCATAGATAAAAACATCGGATATTTTAGTGATATATTGACCGCAGAAATGAAAATGTCCATGGATTTCATTTCAGAAATCTGGTCACCTTAGTTTTACCCGTCCTCCATCAGTGGTCAGAGTCCCACCACAGGAGCATACTTATATTCCCAAGGGCCAATGTTCCCACAGGTTCCCATCAGTAGGAATGTATAATAGATGTAGTGATTAACTACATTAAGCAGAGTTTAAAAATGACAAATCAAATGTCAGTGCTTTGAAATATTAAGTAACAAACTAAATCAATATTGTGTCAGATCACGATAGTATCTGGACAAGTTCTGCTTCTGGAGTTGCAGAGAGACATGACTGACTTTACTTTGGGCTGAAACATGGGGCCATGGGAACATAAAGTTGTTTCCTAGAAAATTTCAGTAAGGGAACATAGGACCCTGGGGATATAGGGCTGCTTCCCTCACCACAGAGTGAATTTTTGCTGGATATTTACTTGGTGTACTATTCTCAACCCAGCAGTTCAATTGAGGTGTCTAAAACCCCAACAACAGTGCTGTGCCTGAAAAATCTATACCAGTGCAACACACACTTGACACACCACTACCATGTTGGCATCACTGCTGTGCCGAGAGTGGTCCGCCACCCAAATGTAGTGGTGGTCTTATAGTGGTCTCTTTCCATTTATGGATGGGCTAGAGCCCAATTATCAAACACAGGCCCGTAACATAATCCTATGTGGCCCACGAAATTATTTTCATTTTCTATTAATATTAGACCATTTCACAGCGTCCTGCACTACAATCCCCAGCATGCACTGCAGCATAAGGTGCACAGTGCAATGTAGCCTATTGTAATGTAGCGTACTGTAGTCTATTCCATTATTTATTCATTTATTGATTTATTTATTTTTGAATATTTAATGTAGTCATTATGTAATATTTCAAGGTTCACTACAACTGCCTTTATTTTAATGTTGGTGTGTTGGCATATCTGAATAAACAATGACCCGCTCAGGTTATAACAAAATATTGATTAACAATCAAAACACAGATGTTTTCTGACCCACAGATTTGTAGAGGTTTTTCAGTATGGCTCTTTCATAGGTTGAGTTTGACACCCCTGGGCTAGAGGGTGGCTGACAAAGTGCATAAGGTACAGTCAATAACTATAAACCTACAAGGTGCCACCTGTATGGTATATGTTTCAGATAAAATGACCAATGAGTGTGGATACAAGTTAGTTTTGGCTAATGAACTGGCAACTCAGTGTGGGACACATTCAGTGAGTGTTTAAGGCAACAGCATAGGATGACACTTCTGTCACTGTCACTTGATTCTGTCCCTGAGCAATACATAGTGGAATATGTTACTGTCAAAAGTGATACTCCAAATAAGACTGTGCTGTGCCTGGAATACAGCCTCTGACTCATATGCCTACCACTTTGGTCTCTGCCACTGATTTTCTTTTCAAAACAACTTTCCTTTTGTAAATAATGCAGGCACAAACAGCATATTTCATATGTCACTGACGTGGGAAGATCCCATAATCCTAATCCCATTATGCTGTGTCCACATCTGGCTCCAAACACAGTTGCGGTGGGGCTGTTGTCTGAGACCATGATCTAATGCCGCAGAGTGCAAACTAACTTCTGTTAGTGGTTTAATGGTATATGTTCAGACAGGGGAGTCTTACAATGGAACTAGCATAAATTACAAACTGAAATAGGCACAATGTCAGCCTAGAAAAAGAATTACTGGATGGGTGACTCATTGGAAACAGCATGTAATGTAGAGTTTTGTTTCGGGCCTTGTACTTAGCCATTTGTCTATTGACTGTTTTCTGCATTCATGCGGTCGCTGGCCAGTGCGGCGGTATGACTAGTCCAAACTGAGATGAACAATGGACACAGGACTATGTAAAATGGCTGCAAGTATGAACACGGCCTTTGTTTCAGTTTGCTGAGTTGTGGTTTAGGTTGCACAGGACAAAAGTACAAGTGCACTGAGTTTCGTGCAGGCAAAATAAAGCTTCTATTGCAGACTAAGGGTAGGCATTTTAACAAGAAGTAAGTGTTATTGTGAAAAATGATATTATATCCCCATATATACCCTATACGGTCAGTACTTTTACAACATTGTACTGCACGCATTATAAAAAAGACAGATTTAGACTAATAAGAGAGCCAATGTACAGTAAATGGTCACACAACAAGGCGCTGATCTAATATCAGCTTATTATGACATGTTAAGTCAAGTCAAAGTTTATTTATATAGCACTTTTTTATAACAGGCGCTGCCACGAAACAACTTTACAGAAAATCCGGGACCAGTGAGCAAGCAAAGGGCGAAACCTTGAGAGGAACTATAACTTAAAAGGGGAACTCATCCTCCTCTGGTCGACATAATATAGCAAAACAATAACGCAACAAGAGCAATATGAACAGAGGATAAGATTGTACAATTAATATACAATATTAAATATAGAGAAAAGGACCAGCATGTCATTGGATAGAAGTATGTAGATTAACCAATAATAACCAATGACTGCTGTTGGAAGCCTATCATAGTAACAGTGAGAAACAGATCAATGAAAATTAGTCACTGTTACCAGTGAAAGCCAGTGGCTATTGTTAGGAGTGAATCACAGTGAAAATGAGAATTAAATCCACAAACAGCAATGACTACTGTTAGAAGCTAATAATGATGACATGTTAGTGTGAATATATATAAAGAGCTCAGTGTGAGGCAGGTGACAGAATTACTATGATTAAAAAAAAAATGTCATTGCATTTATTTTTTTAACAATTATTTAATGTTTCATTTTGCTCTATTTGTATAGTTTATTTTTGCCAGTGTTGAATTTAAATTTATATTATACGTATACAGTTGTATGCAAAAAGCTTCATCATGTTGCAGGTTTTGTTGATTTTCTAAGTAAAAATAAGCTATAACACATCCTCTACAGAGACCACACTTCAATACGGCATTTTTCAGCAAATGTTAGTGCACAATTTCTATTTATTTACTATTAGAAACTATTAAGTTTAAAACATGGGTAAAAAAAAAACAATACAGTTATAAAACATAAAATGTACCATCATTTTGCATACAACTTTAATTGTTTATAGCCTTTTTTAAATGTTGAACCACTATTTCGCTGGTGCATTTTTTTCTGTTTGAGTCTTAGAAAAAGAAATTATCTCTAAGTATCATGTATTGTGTAACTGTCTTCAAGTTTTGCAGTGCTGTATATTATTTTATTTTCTACATCACCCACCCTTGTAAGCAGACCGTAAATTTAAAAATGATGATGAGATTTATTTTAGATGGACCTTAACAGTGTGTGAATCTGTTTGGTGTCAGTTTAGAGCAGAGCTGAGCAAAACAAAAACACTGCAGTTTGCAGGATTGCACAATGGTGCTCCATGTTGCTCCATAAACACTCCAAAAATTGCTTTGGGCACGTCAAACAAAGCATGCATTGACAACTTTACTGACTAAACTGATCAATTACAGTACTGCGCAAAAGTCAGAGAACACCCTTTATTTATTTCAATTCCAGTCAAAGCAGCCATTAAGCACAAGTTATTGAATTTTGAGGAGATATTTCTGTGGAGATTAGAGACAAAATAATCCACTTGCCAAAAAAAAGGGGGAAAGTCAAAAGAAAATAAGAGAAAAGTGGAAATTTCCAAACTAGAGTTAAAAAAATCATTAAAAGACATAGAGAAAATTGAACTCCTAGCAACCATACAAGACCTGGTAGCCCATCAAAACTGCCACCATCGGATAAACAGCACTTAAAGCTTTCATCTTTGAGAGAGAGGAGAAAATCAAGCTCCGCTCTTACTTCAGATCTGAAAAAATCCACAGGTGTTTCTGTCCATTCTTTTACTGTGACAAGACAACTCAACACTTTGAGTCTGCTGGTGTTCTCAGAACAGTGGACTGACCACCCCAGAGTGGTCAAATGTGTTTGGGATTACTTGGATTGTAAAAAGCAGAAA